GCTTGCTTAGCTTGGTCTAGTTAGAAGGATTCAGTCTTGGCAGTTTAATTTATGCAAATGGAATTGAGAGTGTTCTTGTTTATTTCTACCGTGGTTGAAGAGGTGCATTTTCTACGAATATGAGAGACATGGAATGTGTAATGATTTTTCTTCTAGATGGGATCAATGGANTTGGAGTACTCGCTTTACTCCCTGCACCTCGCGTGAAGATGCAGGTATTTGTTCACCCGGTAGCAGGTTTTGGCTGATCAGAAGTAGAGCTATAGGAGTAGCGAGGTGACTGCCTGCGTTCCGACAGCACCATTTTTCTCTCTTTTGGTTCATTATTCCGGCTTTGTATATTTTAGGTCTTGTAGTTGTATTTATACTCTGATAGATGCTCGTGACTTGTGACTCCCCGGTTTGGGCTGTGTTTGGGTTTTATTCTGCACTTATTAAAGAGATCTTTTAATAGACTGTGGTCACTTAATCATATTAAAGCTGCTTATTGATGTTAACTATTCTAAAAAGATAAGTTGGATTAATTGGCTGGCCTCGTCTTCACGAGAGGCGCCATCACAACCTGGTCCGGGTTTAGGGTCATGAAAATTATGCCTCCCGTCAGCTGAAGATTCATGAGAAAAATTATCCTGTGCACGATCTGGAGTTGGCGGCGATTGTTCATGCTCTTATGATATGGAGGCACTACCTGTATGGGGCGTCATGCGAGGTTTATACTGATCATCCCAGCTTGCAGCATTTGTTTAAGCAAAGGGATCTTAATTTGAGGCAACGCAGGTGGCTTGAGTTACTGAAGGATTATGACATCACCATTCTTTATCATCCGGGCAAGGCGAACGTGGTCGCGGATGCCTTAAGCAGAAAGGCAGACAGTATGGGTAGCTTGGCATTCATTCCAGCAGAGGAGAGGCCACTAGCTTAGGACATTCAGTCCTTGGCTAACAGACTAGTGAGGTTGGACATTTCGGAGCCCAGCCGGGTTCTTGCGTGTATGGTTGCTCAGTCTTCATTATTGGGGGAGATAAAGGCTCGGCAGTTTGATGATCCACATTTGGCGGTTCTTAGAGAGACAGTGCTTCAGGGAGGTGCCAAGGAGGTTTCTATTGGCGAGGATGATGTTTTGCGGCTCTAGGGTCGTTTATGTGTTCCTAATGTTGATGGTTTGAGGGAGAGGATACTAGAGGAGGCACACAGTTCGCGATATTCCATCCGCCTGGGAGCTACGAAGATGTATCGTTACTTGAGGCAGCATTATTGGTGGAGGAGGAAGAAGAAAGATATAGTGGAGTATGTGGCTAGGTGTTTGAATTGCCAGCAGGTCAAGTATGAACATCAGAGGCCGAGTGGCCTACTTCAGCAGATGCCTATACCAGAGTGGAAGTGGGAGCGCATTACCATGGATTTCGTAGTTGGGTTGCCGCGGACCTTGCAGAAGTTTGACTCAGTATGGGTCATTGTTGATAGGTTGACCAAGTCGGCCCACTTTATTCCAGTGGCGACTACTTATACAGCAGAGAGGTATGCTTAGATTTACATTCGGAGATAATCCGGTTGCACGGTGTGCCTGTCTCCATTATATCAGACAGATGCCCTCAGTTCACTTCCCATTTCTGGAGAGCTGTTCAGAGTGAGTTGGGGACCCGCGTAGAGCTTAGCACAGCATTCCATCCTCAGACCTACGGACAGTCCGACCGGACGATTTAGATTCTGGAGGATATGCTTAGAGCCTGTGTGATTGACTTTGGGGGGCAGTGGGACCAGTTCTTGCCCTTGGCGGAGTTTGCGTACAACAACAGCTATCAGTCCAGCATTGAGATGGCCCCATTTGAGGCTTTGTACGGTCGGCGGTGTCGTTCTCTTATCGGGTGGTTTGAGCCGGGTGAGGCTAAGTTATACGGTACAGATTTGGTGCAAGATGCCTTGGACAAGGTGAAGTTGATTCAGGAAAGGCTTCACGTGGCTCATTCCAGACAGAAGAGTTATGCGGATCAGAAGGCGTGTGATGTATCATTCATGGTTGGCGAGAAGGTTCTCTTGAAAGTCTCGCCAATGAAGGGTATTATGAGGTTCAGGAAGAAGGGCAAGTTGAGCCCAAGGTTTATTGGCCCCTTTGAAGTGTTGAGACGAGTTGGGGAGGTTGCCTATGAGCTTGCTTTACCCCCCAGCTTATCGGGAGTTCATCCGGGTTTTCATGTATCGATGCTTCGGAAGTATCATCCCGACCTATCTCATGGGTTAGACTTCAGTACTATTCAGCTGGATGAGAGTTTGTGTAATGAGGAGGAGCCAGTTGCCATCATTGATAGACAGGAACGCCAGTTGAGGTCCAAGAGGATTTCTGCAGTGAGGGTCCAGTGGAGGGGCCAACCAGTCGAGGAGGCGACCTGGGAGTCCGAGGAGGACATGCGGAGCAGATACCCCCATTTATTCAGCACTTCAGGTACTTTTCTATATCCGTTCGAGGACGAACGTTTGTTTAAGAGGTGGAGGATGTAACGACCTGATCGGTCGTTTGCCTTTTTAGAACCCCGTTCCCTCCAAATAAACTCTCCGTGCTTGTTTTAACTAATTTATGACCTGCGGGGATGGTTGGTTCGGGATTTGGAAGAGTTTGGATTCAAATATGCACATTTGACTCCTTAGGATTTTCTTAAAAGGCTAAGTTTGACTTTGGTCAACATTTTGAGCAAAGTCTGGCTCTCGAAGACTCAATATCAGAGGAAACGGGCCCAGATTCGTACTTTGACGGTTCCGGAGGGTTTGTAGGAAAATATGGGACCTGAGCGTATGCCCAGAATCGAATTTCGAGGTTCCTAGCCCGAGTAATGAATTTTTATTAGAAATTGTTAAACTGAAATTCTATGGATTTAAAGAAACTAATTAATGATTGATCACGTTGGTATCGGGCTCGTATGTTGGTTCCGAAACCCAGTACAGGTCCAATATAACATTTAAGACTTGCCCGCAAAATTTGGTGTCAATCCGCGTAGTTAAGGGCGTTTTGGCCCATTAGAGAAAAAATTAAGAACTTGAAGTTCATAAGTTTGATTCAATTGGTTTTAGGGGGTGATTCTTAGATTTAGCGTTGTTTCGGGCGTTCCGAAGGTTCGAGTAGGTCCGTTTTGTGATTTCAGACTTGTCGGTATGTTCAGGCGGGGCCCGGGAACCCCGAGCGTCAATCGGACGAGGCTCGAGTGAAGTGGAAAATTTTGAGAAGTGCTGAAGCTGCTGCTTCTGTCATAACCGCACCTGCGGTTGGTGGACCGCAGGTGCGAGACCGCAGATACGGTCCATCTATCACAGATGCGGCCCAGGAAAGGCTAGGCCAAACCGCAGAAGCGGCTCTGCAGAAGTGGCTCCAAGGCCGCAGAAGCGGCCCCAACCCTTTTGGCCACTGATCGCTGATACGGCCATTTCCTCGCAGATGCGGGACCGCAGATGCGGAAATCGCTGAAGCAGTGAGTTCATTTATTACGGGTTCTAAGTCCATTTTTGCCATTTTTCACTCCTCCGTTGGGTGGTTTTAGGGCTTTTGGGAGAAGACCTTCACCTAGCATCTTGAGGTAAGTTTGTTCTACCTATTTCTAGTTTAATACTTATGTCTTAGGTAGATTAAACACTAGTATTAAGGTGAAATCATGAGGTTAGAGCAAAAACCTAGGGTTTTGACAAGAGTTGAATTTGACCACGAAATTTGTTATGAAATGAATTAGAAATCATATATTATTGATCCTTGGGTTATGAAGAACAACTTCCCTTGAAAAATTTAGGAATCCGGGCACGTGGGCCCGGGGTCGGATTTTAGGAAAATTGTGTTTAGGGGTGGGAAATTGCTTAAATAGTTAGAATATGATATTGTAAGCTTATATTGACTAGTTCCTACCTCGTTTATCTAGTTTTGAATCGTTCGGCTCCAATTTGAGGGTTCGAGCTCATTCTTGGTATTGGAAGTGCACATTGGAGCGAGGTGAGTCTCCTATCTAACCTTGTAAGAGGGAATTGTCCCCATAGGTGATGTAATCTAATAATTTGTTATTAAATGCGGGGGATACGTACGCACTAGGTGACGAGAGTCCGTGCGTAGCTATTATTGTGCTAAGTTCGGGTAGTTTAGGACCCAAAAGCATGCTTTATGTGGTATCGTTGCAACTCTATGATTAATTTATATTGTTTAACCGGGGTGATTATGATAAATGAGATTAATTAAGAGTAACATGACCATTCTTGGTGTTTAAAAAGGGAAGATGATAATGCATTGAGTAATTTCTCTCCAGTTATATGTCATTGTCTGTCTGTTGATATGTTTAAATACATGTGACCGCGTCGCATGGTTGATTCGCGAGCGGGGTAATAGATGCATCTATGGTTCGTGCTGCTCGACCTTCGGCAGTGCACAATTTAGTCTNCTTTTTTTTTTGTATATTCAATTTTTTATTTTTCTGCACCGCCCACCCCGCAAAACCAACTCTATTTTTTTGTTTTACTTTTTTTTTATAATTTTAATTTTCTGTTTTATATTTTTTTCGTTTTTCTGCACCATCCACCCACCCCAAATTCCCCCCCCCCCCCTCCCAACTCCACCCATGAAATATTTGTCAACATACATATTTTAAGGTAAAAGCTTTTTTTTATGCAATATAAGCATGATTCTAAAACATGGGTCAAGTTGAGCGGGTTGGGTTATGACCCATTGTTTAGCCCATCTTGACCCAGCCCATCTTAACCCAAATACACTTTGGGCTGGGTTGGGCAATAACCCATTTATTGACGTAACCCATCTTGACCTGCCCAAATTCAACCCAACCTTCCCATTTGCCACCCGCCACCCCTACCAGGGACTGTCATCATCATATCAAAATCACAGTGGAAATTGCGGCGACACCGATAATTTAGTCAAGTCAGTATTACACGTGTCAACAAGAATTGTTACTCTAATGACTCCTCTTCTAAACTAACTCCTCGTTTTTTGCTGTAGTATCGTCACTCATTGTCATGTTCATTACAGAAAGATACGCTTTTAATAGTTTACCTTATCTTCTATGTACCTAGTTATTTATATAATTTGGACTTTTTAGTATTCGACTTGTTTTCGAGATGGATCAATTGGATTCATTTCGAGATGACAATTGGGACCTAATCGATATTAACAGTTTCTTAGATGAACCTCCTTTTGATTTCTACTGGAACGATCATACGCTGAACCAGAGGTATTTTGATTTATACCGTTAATCATTAACTGAACCGTGTTAATTGACTGTTACTTAGATATTTTTGAGAAGTAAAGTTGTCTAGGATACTGGGTAACATCTTGATGGTAGGGGTAACGTCCCCACTCTTGAAATTACACTGAATTTTTTTTTTGTTAGAGCGAAGAAAGTTTATGACTTATTTTTCTTTTGATAGGGAAGACCTGAATTAGTTCTGTAAATTCATTATTTTCACCATTAAAGACTTGGTATGTCTGTTTCTAACAAAGTATGTGCCGTTTGCTTCAATTTTTTGAGGAAGTGTTTCTTTTTTTTTTTTTTTTTGCAAAAACCATTTGTAACAAAGGCATATCGAATAGATATATATATATATCCTTTTGAGTTTCATTATTTGTTACTTATATCAACAAAAAAAATGCTTTCCTTATCTTGTTGATTGTTGGTTGCAGGAATGTCACAGAACTTGAAACAGAATGCTCTAGGAAGAGGTATTTATTCAACTTATCTGACTGCAGTATTTCTTGTTTCTTTCTATTTACCTTCTTTTGTTCTTGAGATGGTCAAGCTTTGGTGTGATGATCTTGAGGGTGTAAGTTCAGAGTAAAACCGTGAAGTTGAGTTGACTTAGTTTAAGAGCTTCAGTATATAATAAGCAAAAGCATACTTTTTATTAGTAATTTCTTTCACTTAGTCAATTATGATAATGCAGTCTAATTCGATAGGAATTCTCCGTATTACCCTGAATGAACTCTATCAGTTGTCCTTTTAGCTTTGGCTTTTGATAGTTATGACTTATATCATGCCGCTATATAACTGATTGGAGTTATAGATTGATTAAAAACCAACCTTTTCCACCTTCCGCACCTATTTTAATGAAAAAAAGTTAAGTAGTTGAATCTTATTCAGTGGCCAAAGTAGTTACACTTGAGTAAACGTGTACTTGGGTAACATTTACTGTTCAGTTTCTTAAAGTTAATAAGCTGAAGGGCCAATTTGCAACAAGTGGATAGTCTCTTCTGCATTTGGTCAATTGCTACCCTCCGCGTAGACGCTTGTAAAGAAAGTCTCACTGAATATGCAGTTTTACTATAGGAATCAATTCTGATATCTGAATTAGCACTAAAAGCTAACTGTATACTAGTATAGTGCCTCTCTCTTGTGAGAACTGCCTTTCAGTAAATATTACTCCTTATATATGAGCACTCTATGTAAAGGAACTTTATCTCTTATTTATGCTTGATATTTCTTCTCCACAAAGTGGATGTTAGTTGACCTGTAAAAGGATTTAGAGCCCGTTTGGATTAGCTGATTTGAAGTAGCTGATAAGTATTGATAATAAGTTGCTGCAATATTTGATAAAAAAGTGCTGATAAGCTATTTTTCTATCAAATTGACTTAAATAACCTTAGAACTTTTTACACTTATAAGGGCGTAATTTCTTTAAAATTTTAGATTCCAGATCGATTCAAATACAAAATATTCTATTTGTCATTCTATTTTAAATACAATTGTGCTTAGATAAGATAATTTTTACGATTAACGTAATTTATTTTATGATAAGCATATAATCATAGCTTATAATAATTAATAAATTGACAAAAGTTCTCAGTAAAAAATAAACCTAAATAGGACAAAATATTTGAAGAGAAACAAACACTATCTTCATCGTCACAACACTTAGAAAGCAATTCACAAAAAAATTGATATGTCCTTATTTATTACATACAGTTCAAAGATTAATACACAATCATATAGATATAAATATGCAAAGGAATAGAGAATTTGCTTATCTTAAATAGTCAACGAGAATTGCAGAATTGAAGGGGGGGGGGGGGGGGGTAGGGATTAGGTTGAAAAAAATACTTGAGACAGTGAGTATCGATGTAGGAGTTTTGTTCTAAAACAGAATATTTTAAGGATAAAATAGTAAAAATCTTGGTCAAACTTAAAATGCTTATAAGCTAAAAATTCATAAGCTGGGGGTGACCAGCTTATGGCTTTTGGCTTATTTTTTACTTATAAGCACTTTTAACTTTACCAAACGCATAGATAAGCCGAAAAATGTTTATAAGCTAGTTTGACTAGCTTATAAGCTTAGCCAAACACCCTCTTAATAAATAAGCAGTTACGTGTTTGGGTACAAGTGCTGAAATTGATAATAAGTTATTGCAGTATTTGATAAAAAGTGCTGATAAGCTCTTTTTCTGTTAAAATGACTTGAATAACCTTAGAACTGTTTATACTTATAAGGGCGTAATTTCTTTAAAATTTTAGATTCCAGATCAATTCAAATTCAAAATATTCTATTTGTCATTTTATTTTAAATACAACTGTGCTTAGATAAGATAATCTTTATGATAAATATAATTTATTTTATGATAAGCATATAATCATAAGTTATAATAATTAATAAATTGACAAAAATTCCTCAGTGAAAATAAACCTAAATAGGACAAAATATTTGAAGAGACACAAACAATGTCTTTCATCACCACAACACTTAGAAAGCAATACACCAAAAATTTGATATGTCCTCATTTATTACATACAATTCAAATATTAATACACAATCACATAGATATAAATATGCAAAGGAAGAGAGAATTTGCTTATCTAAATAGTCAATGAGAAAAGGTCCTGAGTTCAATTCTACTTCATCACAATTTTTAACCACAAAGGCTCTCTCAAATATTTGCAAAAGAAAAATGTGCTAGTTGAGGTTTGAACCTTTGACCTTGTGAGAAAGCACAGGAGAAATGATATTATTGATGTATTAACATATGTTACAATGAGCCCTATATATACACACACATAACATGTCCTACTCCTAATATATATTGGATTAAGGTTATTTATTTACTCCTATTTACATGACTATTCTAACACTCCCCCTCAAGCTGGTGCATATAAATCATATGTACCGAGCTTGTTACATATGTAGTTAATACGAGGACCAGTGAGGGACTTGGTGAAAATATCTGCAAGCTGATCATTCGACTTCACAAACTTTGTAGCAATATCTCCCGAGAGTATCTTTTCTCTAACAAAGTGACAGTCAATCTCAATGTGTTTAGTTCTCTCATGGAACACTGGATTTGACGCAATATGAAGAGCAGCTTGATTATCACACACAAGTCCCATCTGACCAATCTCACCAAATTTCAACTCCTTGAGCAACTGTTTGATCCAAATTAGCTCACATGTCGCCATAGCCATCGCTCGATATTCTGCTTCTGCACTAGACCGAGCAACCACATTCTGTTTCTTGCTCTTCCAGGACACCAAATTTCCTCTTACCAAGACACAATATCCAGACGTAGAACGTCTATCAGAAGGTGATCCTGCCCAATCAGCATCTGAGTATCCAACGATCTGCTCATGGCCTCGACCCTCAAACAATAAACCTTTGCCTGGAGCTGATTTTATATACCGAAGAATGCGAACAACTGCATCCCAATGACTATCACACGGAGAATCCATAAACTGACTCACAACACTCACAGAAAAGGAAATGTCAGGTCTTGTCACTGTAAGGTAATTTAATTTACCAACCAACCGTCTATATCTTGCAGGATCGCTAAGAGGCTCCCCCTGTCCTGGCATAAGTTTAGAATTCGGATCCATCGGAGTGTCAACCGGTCTACAACCTGTCATTCCTGTCTCTTCAAGAATATCTAAGGCATACTTTCGTTGTGAGATCACAACACCTGAGCTAGACTGAGCGACCTCAATACCCAGAAAATACTTTAGTTTGCCCAGATCCTTAGTCTGAAAGTGTTGCAAGAGATGTTGCTTCAATTTAGTAATACCATCCTGGTCATTGCCGGTAATAACAATGTCGTCAACATAGACCACCAGATAAATACAGAGACTCGAGGCAGAATGCCGATAGAATACAGAGTGATCAGCTTCACTCTGAATCATGCCAAATTCTCGAATAACTGTGCTGAACTTACCAAACCAGGCTCGAGGAGACTGCTTTAGACCATAAAGTGACCGACGCAAGCGACATACAAGGCCACGAGACTCCCCCTGAGCAACAAACCCAGGTGGTTGCTCCATATAAACTTCATCCTCAAGGTCACCGTGTAAAAAAGCATTCTTAATGTCCAGCTGATAGAGGGGCCAATGGCGAACAGCAGCCATGGATAGAAAAAGGCGGACTGATGCTATCTTAGCCACAGGAGAGAAGGTATCACTGTAATCGAGCCCAAATATCTGAGTATATCCTTTGGCAACAAGACGAGCCTTAAGACGATCAACCTTACCATCCGGACCAACCTTGACTGCATACACCCAACGACAACCAACAGTAGATTTACCTGAAGGAAGAGGGACGAGCTCCCAAGTACCACTCGTATGTAAAGCAGACATCTCGTCAATCATAGCCTGTCGCCATCCTGGATGAGACAATGCTTCACCTGTAGACTTAGGGATGGAAACAGAGGACAAAGAAGATAGAAAAGCATAATAGGGTGATGACAAACGATGATAACTCAAACCGACATAATGGGGATTAGGATTAAGGGTGGCCCGTATACCTTTCCGAAGTGCAATCGGTTGATTAAGAGGAGACAAGTCCGCAGTATTAGCAGGGTCAGGTGCAGGACGTGAATCAGCTGGACCTGATGCTGGGCGCGGACGACGATGATATGTCAAAAGTGGTGTTCCTGTGGCAGGGAGTCTAGGAGGAGCCACACTAGACTCCTCAACGGTTGGAATGGATAAGACTTCTATAGCGGAAGGTGAAGGAGGAGCTATAGGAGACTCGGGTAAGACTTCTGTGGCGGAAGGTGAAGGAGGAGCTATAGTAGACTCCTTAAAGGTCGGTATAGGTAAGACCTCAGATATATCAAGGGGGTCAGAAAGGTCAGAAGAGGTAAAGAAAGGTTTAGACTCAAAAAATGTGACGTCAGAGGACATAAAGTACCTACGAAGATCAAGTGAGTAACAACGATATCCCTTCTGAACACGAGAATAACCAAGGAAGACACACTTGAGAGCACGAGGAGCTAACTTATCTTTCCCAGGGGCTAGGTTATGAACGAAACAAGTGCTCCCAAAAACACGAGGGGGAACAGAGTATACGGGTGATTGGGGAAACAATACTGCATACGGTATCTGATTCTGGATGGGAGAGGAAGGCATCCGATTAACTAAATAACAAGCTGTGAGAACTGCATCGCCCCAAAAACGCAGCGGAACATGAGATTCAATGAGAAGTGTGCGAGCAGTCTCAATGATGTGCCTATTCTTTCTCTCTGCAACCCCATTTTGCTGAGGGGTATAAGGACAAGAGGTCTGATGAATAATTCCTTGAGAAGTCATAAACTGCTGAAATTGAGAGGATAAATATTCTAAGGCATTATCACTGCGAAAAGTGCGAATGGAAACACCAAATTGATTTTTAATTTCAGCACAAAAATTCTGGAATATAGAAAACAACTCAGAACGATCTTTCATTAAGAAAATCCAAGTACATCTTGAATGATCATCAATAAAACTAACAAAATAACGAAATCCCAAGGTTGAACTGACTCTACTAGGACCCCATATATCAGAGTGAACTAAAGAAAAAATAGACTCTGCGTGACTCTCAATACTACGAGGATAGGAGGCTCGGGTATGTTTCCCGAGCTGACATGACTCACACTCTAATGTGGATAAACTAGACAAACCAGGCACCATCTTCTGAAGCTTGGATAAGCTTGGATGTCCTAAACGTTTGTGAATTAGGTCCGGAGGATCTGTAACTAGACATGCCTTGGAGGATTTTAGGGAGTTAAGGTAGTAAAGCCCTTCTGATTCAAGTCCTGTTCCAATCGTCTGCCCTGTACTGCGGTCCTGCATAATAAAAGAATCATCAATAAAATATATACCACAATGGAGGGCACGAGTCAAACGACTAACAGATGCAAGATTAAAAGGACAGCCAGGGACATAGAGAACGGAATCTAGAGTGACAGAGGGTAGGGGATTCGCTTGTCCAACTCCTTTTGCTTTGGTTTGAGACCCATTGGCTAAAGTAACAGTGGGAAGAGACTGTGAATACGCAATATTTGACAAAAGTGATTTATTACCAGAGATATGATCAGAAGCGGCTGAGTCCACAACCCATTGTCCAGGAGGACTAGACTGGGAAACACAAGCAAAAGAATTACCAGCAACAGAAGTATTAGTCTGAGCAACAGAAGCTACTTGTGGAGATGTCTGCTTACTTGCTCGATACTGAAGGAACTCATTATACTCCCCTTCAGATAAAGAAAATCCCTGGTTACCTGTAGTCTCAGTCTGAGCAACATAAGCATTTTTGGTTGGGCGGCCATGTAAAGAATAGCATACATCACGAGTGTGTCCAAGTTTATGACAATAGGAGCACTTGGGTCTAGATCTTCCAAAACGACCTCCTCCTCGTCTATTCTCCATAGTATGAGATGCCCGATTGTCCACTGATTGGGATACGAGGACAGATGAGTCAAGTGTCTGTGATGAGCTCACTGGGTGACTAGGTGCTGCAGCAAGGCGAAGTAATCGAGAGAATAATTCATCAACTGTGGGGACGGTTGGACTAGCCAAAATCTGGTCACGTACTGAATCAAGGTCATTAGGGAGTCCAGCGAGTGTAAGAACTAGAAACATCTTCTGTCGTTGCTCTTGTTGTTTTTCAATACTAGCAGAAACTGGCATCAACGTCTCAAATTCTTCCATGACTGCCTGAACTTGTCCCAAGTAAGTAGACATATCTAATTCCTGTTTCTTCAAGCTTGTCATTCGCGATATTACATCATAGAAACGAGATATGTCATTAGTGTATAGATTACGAGCCTTTTCCCAAACTAAATAACATGTCTGGAATGGACGGAACAAGGGCATCAACTTGGAATCAATAGATCGCCACAGGATACTACATAACGGAGCATCGACCTTTTCCCACTGTGTTTTGGCCTTTTCATCACCTTCGCTAGCCTTTTTTGTTAAATGATCTTGAACTCCTTGACCTTTACACCACAACTCGACAGATGAAGCCCAATCTAAGTAGTTTGAACCTCCCATTAAAGGTTCTGAGGTAATCATAACACCGGAACTGCCAGAACCCGGGTTTCTAGACCCGAAAGCATCGACTCCCAAAGACATGGTTGGATTATCACCAAATAACAAAAAGAATCAACTGAAAATTCTCTGAAACAGATGAAGAAAACACTGTGTTTGCCGGAAAAGTACTGTAGCTGCCGGAAAAATCAGTGTAGTCGCCGGAAAAACTCAAAGTGGTCGGAATCAAACGAAAACAGGATGGGTAGGGTCGGAATTGCTGTGCGACCAGGCTGTCCTGAAGAAGCTCGGCCAAAAAATGGCCGGAAGAGGCCTCACGCGCCGGCGCGTGACGACGGAGACTCGCCGGAAAAGTATTTTCCGGCGGCGCGTGAGGGCGCGTGGGAGAGGTTCTGCCGGAGAAATTTTTGTGGTTTGGTCGCCGGAAGCTGATCTATCTCGTGGTGGTGTTGGTTTTTGCACAACACCGACGGATATTGAGTTTTTTCTTGCGGACATTGCTGTTTTGTCCGGAAAAAAAGGGTTTTTTTTTTTTCTTTCCCGGAGTCGCTGGAATTTATGCACAGCGATAAATATCTCACGATAGCTCTGATACCATGTGAGAAAGCACAGGAGAAATTATATTATTGATGTATTAACATATGTTACAATGAGCCCTATATATATACACACATAACATGTCCTACTCCTAATATATATTGGATTAGGGTTATTTATTTACTCCTATTTACATGACTATTCTAACAGACCTCAGAGAAAAATAAAACACATAACCGACACGCCAAGACACAACTTATATCAAGTAGTGTTATTTTCTCCTAGTTATCCGTTTCCGTACAATATTAATACATATATTTAGTAAAAAAAAATCCGACGAAGCGGTGTCGCGTGACACCGCTTCGGTAAGCGTGCATCCGCCCCTGATTATTTGGTTCTTAAACAGGGCTCGTAGCAATCCGTGCAGCAAACAGGGGAGTAAAGCTTGCCGAGAGAGACTAAGAAGAGAAAAATTGAATGACAGGTACCGTCATGCTTAGATGATTATTATTTTTATGTTTCTTCAGAGATGGTTTCTTTTATAGATTGCCTCTACACATTGATACCACATATTATAAAGCAGGAATATAGTTTATTGATAAATTTTGAGTAGATTATTACTTTTACGGGGTTTGTCAGTCTTGATGCTTCCCGCCCTCTTCTACATGTGGCTGAAGGAGTGCAAAAGAAAATTGAAGACTATTTCATTTTTATTAGGTTATACCTGTGAATGTGAAATGTAGAGGGAACTTCTCTTGGCATATCAATTACTTAGCTGATTAGTTTCAGAATGTGTTTTTTTAGGTTTAGAATGAGTTCGACTCAAGTGAACCTTTTTAGAATTTAAATAAATTTATTTGAAACTCGACTAATGCTTCATGTAGGTTCTCGGAGCTATGCTCCGTGTTGGAACCTGGGAGACCTGTGAAAACAGACAAAATTGCCATACTTGACGACGCCATTCGAATGCTAAACCAACTGAAGACTGAATCCGACGAATACCAAGAGATGAACCAAAAGCTTTTGGAAGAGATCAGAACTCTAAAGGTTAGATATGATGTTTTCTATGTTAGTGATGCTAAGATGTTAAAACTAGGTTAATTTAACTGGTAAAGTTTGCCACTTATATTCTTGCTAGTAACTCTGGACACCCCTAATCTATCTTATGAAAACTAGTAATGCATCTTGAACACTTCAATTCATATCTATGCTGGATAGTGCATTGTACGCAATCTTTATTTCGCCCATGAACAGGCAGAGAAGATTGAACTTGGGGAAGAGAAACTCTCGTTGAAGGCAGACAAGGGGAGGATAGAGCAGCATTTGAAAGCTTTAATTGATTTCCCACCGAGTTTTATCCCAACCCATATAACAGGATATCAGATGGCGCAAAATAAAATGGCAGTTTTCCCTAGTTATGGCTTTGTGCCTATGTGGCAGTATCTACCTCCAGCTTCCCAGGATACATCTCAAGATCATGAATTCATGCCTCCTGTTGCTTAATCTTTGGCATTTTCCATTTCATTCTTTAAATATGGCTAACTTGCTAATCTTATTTCACCTTCTTACTCCTTGTTCTATTTTCACCATTATCTTGATTTTTTTGTTTGAGCACAACTACATGTATGATCAAATGGTCAAAACTAGATCAACATTGGATTTTTTGTTTGAGCACAATTTGATCTTTGGTTTTTGTTGCTCATATTATCTAGCATGGAAGTTTTAACTGTAGAATAAAAATCAAAGTCATTGCAGATCCATTTCTATAGCTAAGTCCAGCAGAAGTGTTACATTTAACTGATTGTAGGATCTGACAGTTACAGACTAACAAATGGTTTCTGCCTTGTTCAGATCCTAAAATCTGACAAGGCAGATTTGCCTCCAATCCCTGTTGCATAATAGTGAACTGTGTAGTCCTTCACAGTAGTTTCCCTATACCTCGCAGGATTATCTTCTGATAACAACTCCTTAATTGGTCCATAAACTCTCGATGATAATGAGTGACCGGTGGTGAAAAAACAGGCCACTGATACTCTTGGACCAACACGACTTGCCAGAACTCTGTGTGCAACGCTCGTGAACTTGTCATTTGATATGAGCTAGAAATTTTTCAACAAAACGAAGTTAGCACATTTCATCTTCTATCCATATATATTATTCAAGAATACAATTACGAGAATAATTCGTCATAGGTAACTTACCTGTAAAAGATCACCAATATTTACTACTAGAGCACCAGAAACAGGAGGAACATCAACCCAGTAATTGTCATGAAGAACCTGAAGGCCTCCAATGTGATCCTGTAGCAGTAATGTGAGGAAGTCACTGTCTTCATGCTTGCTAGTTCCAAGAGTTAGTTCTGGCTCGGGGCAAGCCGGGTAATAATGGTACAAAACAGCAAGCCCTTCTGAACAGCCAATGTCATTCATATAGCTCGGCTTGAGGCCAAGCGCCTCAGAGAGTAATTCAAATAAAGAACGACCCAACTTCTTTACTTGCTCCGAGTACTCAATCAGAATGTCCCTGCAGGAAAATAATGTATCAGTTCATTAATTTTACTTAGATATCCAAGATGCTAAATTGACAATTTCCTTTACACTTATTCTAGAGATTAGGTAACAAATGATTTTCTAGCGGACAAAATTTTCTGGGCAATCATACTCCAGTACTGATGTACAGAAATGATATAATTATGAGATTCAAAGTTCTGTCTGCCGCTTCAAGGAGATGCATATAAGTAGGGGTAGCAAACAGGTTGGATATGAGTTTGATCGAAAATGGGTAACGTAAAAACGGATAAATTATCTGACTCGACCCATATTTAATAGGGATAGAAAAAGTGTTAACCAACGGATAATCATATGATTACTTTTGGAAGAATTCCTAATCTCTCAAACTTGAGCAACCCCTAATTTGAGTCTTTGCAAATGTAAATGTTACACTCAATGATTATCTATTTTTTAAGTGGATAATATGGATCTTATCCATATTTGATCCATTTTTAAAAAGTTCATTATCCAACTCATATTTTAGTTTATAATATGAGTGGATAACTGTTTTTTCTAACCACAATATATGGGTATCCTCGGTGACTATGCGTTTTGACTTTTCAAAAAAAAATTCAAGAAAGTATGAGTGGAAGTAAAAGTTAGACCAGTAAATACCTACCTGCAAGCCTCTGGCAATTCATCAGCAGTAGGAGGGTTTGGAGCCATGCTGCAATTAGTAGTGTCCCTCCAATTAGCTGATGCAGCTCCAAACAGATCAAAATTACTATTATGCACCACTCTTTTCGAGTTGTCACGAGTATACCATCGTTTCTTCACTTCAGTATCTTGCTCATAAAACCTCCTAACACCATTCAACATTTCTTCTAAAACACTTTTTGGGATTCCATGATTAACCACTTGAAAGAAACCCCACACTTGAGATGCATCGCGGATTTTTTCAACTATCGCGCTACGTTTAATTGGATCTTTACTGATGTCATCTAAGTCTATAACAGGAATGTTGAATTGGGATTTCTCAGGATCATTGGATGCCACAAAATATGCATCTTCTGGTGTATAGAAAATTCTTGGGACTTTTGTAACTCCTGCATCAACTAGTCCTTTAACACCAGCTTTTGTGTTATCAAAAGCTATTAATTCACTTGTCCTGTCATAGCCGTTTTCACCAATTTTCATTTTTTTGCTAGGGAAATCAAAGTTCCAACGGAAGATCAGATAGGAATTGTACTACTAAATGAGAAAAGACTTTCTCCGGTGTTTTATTCTATCAAGTGGAAATACGGGACCAATATTGTGAGGTTCAAATCTCTCATATCGGAAATGGTACACCATAATCAATCTACTACTACTTCTTTTAATACGTAATTCATTATGAAAGTACATTTAAAGTTCTTTAGATAATAGTTTATCATAATAATTACTATTAATTTATATTTTACAGTTAAATGGGAAATTGTTACTCCAAATGATACACTACTGTTATTTTAGGACGTGGAAAGGGAAAAGGTAAATACCTATGCATATTAGGGTTTTCTAACATAATTTATCATTTGACAATGCATAAGTTAAATGATTGGGTTGTGTGCTGATGCAGCAGGGTAAGGTTGTAGCTTATGCTTCTAGACAACTAAGAAAGCACGAGAAGAATTATCCGACCCACGATTTAGAGTTAGCCGCAGTGATTCATGCACTAAAGATGTGGAGACACTACTTGTATGGCATTCATGTTGATATTTGTACGGATCATAAGAGCCTCCCGTATATCTTCAAGCAAAAGGAATTGAATTTACGTCAAAGGAGATGGTTGGAGCTACTTAAAGATTATGGCATTAATATTTTATACCATCCGGGAAAGGCGAACGTGGTAGCCGCCCTCAGCCGTAGATCTATGGGTAGCCTGTCATATTAACAGCCAGAAAAGAGGGGAATAGCCTATGAGATTCATCAGCTAGCTAGTCTTGGAGTTCGGTTACTGGACTCAGGTGATATTGGAATTACTATTCAGGATACGACAACATCCTCTTTAGTAACTGAAGTAAAGGAACGCAGTACGAGGATCCTGTGTTAGTTCATTATAGGGATACCACCCCTCAGAAGGAGAAGACACCATTTGAAATTACACAAGATGGGGTCCTCAAATATCGAGGACGATTATATGTCCCTAATGTAGGAGGGCTGCGTCGACAGGTTATGGGAGAAGCTCACTATTCTCGTTATTTTATCCATCCAGGAGCGACAAAGATGTATCATGATATCAGGGAAGTATATTGGTGGGGCGGAATGAAAAAGGATATAGCGGAGTTTGATGCTTAGTATCCTAACTGTTAGCAGGTTAAAATTGAGCATCAAAAACCCGGTGGATTATTGCAATTCCGTCTTGGAAGTGGGAAGTAATCAATATGGATTTCATCATAGGTTTACCTTGTACCCAGCGTAAGTTCGATTCTATATGGGTGATTGTTGATAGGCTTACAAAATCAGCCCATTTTCTGCACGTTAGGACTACATATTCTGTAGAGGATTATGCAAGGCTTTATATTAAGGAGATAGTACGACGCATGGTGTCTCTGTATCTATTATTTCAATTTACAACTAACTTCTGGAGGTCCTTCCAAAAAGGATTGGGGACTCAGGTAAGTCTTAGTACAGCATTTCATCCCCAGACAGACGGACATGCTGAGCGAACTATTCAGACACTTGAGCATATGTTACGAGCTTGTGTGATAGACTTCACAGGTAGCTGGGATGATCATCTGCCGCTTATTGAGTTTGCATATAATAATAGCTACCATTCCGGTATTCAGATGGCTCCATACAAAGCTCTTTACGGACGGAAGTGTAGGTCGCCTATAGGGTGGTTCGATGTTGGGGAAACTACTTTAGTAGGACAACAATTGGTACAACAGGCAATCGAGAAAATTTAGCTTATACAGGAAAGGCTATTAGCAGCTCAAAGCCGTCAGAAGTCTTATGCGGATAATCGACGGCGAGACTTGGAGTTTCAGGTTGACGATTAGGTATTCCTAAAGGTATCACCGATGAAAGGCGTTATGAGGTTCGGTAAGAAAGGAAAACTTAGGCCTTGGTACATTGGACCATATAGGATCATACACAATGTAGGCCAGGTAGCGTATGAGTTAGACTTGCCTTCGGACTTGGAGTCTATACATCCATTCTTTCATGTGTCTATGATCCGTAAATGTATCGGAGATCCTTCCAGAATCGTGTCAGTTGACGACGTTCAGGTCACAGAACAACTATCATATGAAGAAACTCCCATTGCTATATTAGACAGACAGGTTCAGAGATTGAGAACTAAAGACGTAGCTTCGGTGAAAGTACTTTGGAGAAACAACAATGTGGAAGAAATGACTTGGGAGGCCGAGGAAGACATGAAGTCTAGATATCCTCACTTATTTCCTCTTCCAAAGCAGGATCTGACTGAGACATCACAACCTTAAGGTATGTGTATGGATTCTTGTGTTAGTCATTGTCATTGGTCGTCTGAGGCTATTGTCATTATTGATAATTGTGGTTCTATGTGGCGTTGAATTATTGAGTTTCTACGGGAAGAGTTGGTAGTAATATTGTTACAAAGGCGATTCTGCCAAAGTTTGTATAGATCCCAGGGAGTTAAACATTCCACGACGAATGTTTCTAAGGGGGGAAGGATGTTAGCGTTTTCATACGTTAAAGTTCCGTTTTCAGATAATCAACATAGACTCGGGAATGAGATTATCTTGAGATTATAAGCATTTATTCCATTTATAATAAGCGAAAAATAAGTGCCATGAAGGTTAAAGGGTAAACGAATCAAAGAAAATGAGTTTCGTCGAAGGTGGTCAATTTGGGATATAATACGATCCGAGCCATAATACCTGGTGTTTATAGACTAGTGCCATACAAGGTACCCCCATGACCATGATAGTAGGGTACATAAGTAATTTGAGATAATTCTTAATTATGTGAGTAATTAATTAAAGAGTGGGATAAGACTTACCCCTCCCCAACGTGGCAAGCATTCCTTATCTATCTAATGACTACTAAATAAGGTGGAAAGGTGTCACACTTTGACAAAGAAAAGTGACACCAAGCTTGGAGTGTGGGGCCTACCCAAATATTAGAGATAACATTTATAATTCAATAATATATTCTAATCTCTTAAGGAACATTTCAACCAAGCTTTCCATTTTCATGTAACGTTAATCCTAAACTCCTAAGAAGAGTTTCAGCAAGCTTTCCATTACATAACATTGATTCTAAATCTCTTGAGAAAGAGTTTCAACAAAAATGATTTTGCAATAGCAACGTTATTGCTTTGAGCATTTCATACGGATTGTTCCCTATTTCGATCTCGCAGTTACGTGTTTCATCACAATTAACGTGTGTTAGAGGGATTGTCAAGAGAATCGACTCAGGTATGTTAAGGCTATTCCTTCTTCCCTTTTGGCATGATCCATACGATACAGACGAAACGAGCAAATGCACAACTTCCATAAATGACTCTATTCATAAAAATACTAGAGATGCTTGTGTTCTTGACTCCCCATGTGTCCTATTATTCTATCATCTATTCATGGGTCTCAGAAAATACGTAAGTTAATAAAGTTTACTTCATGATATTAATCAAATGCATAATGGTCTTATGACACTCCGAAAGATTTTATTGACGTACTTCTCATACATTGCATTCATTTACATTGACCCATGACCATATGGCGTTATATACGCGTATATATGTATATATATGTATGTGGGATATGGAAAAAGGTTACGACGTTATATACGCACCACCACCTGATCAGCTGGTACATGTTGATAATTTTGCCCACAGTGGCTGAGATGATATGATGGGATGCCCTTAGAGGCTTGATGATGTTATGAACACCATACCTATGCATGAAACGACATTTACATGCACGTGCATGACATTATATTGTTTCAGGATTTACAAAGTGATTTAGACTTACAGTCGGAATTCTTTATTCCATGTTTCATCTATGTCTGGTATATACTGAGTTTTTTGCCTTACATACTCAGACATTATTCGTACTGACGCCCTATTTCTCGGGGTCTGCGTTTCATGCCCGCAGGTGCAGGTAGACAAGCTGACGGTCCCCCTTCTTAGGATCCTTGATCAGCGAGAGTTGGCGTGCTCCATTTGATCAGGAGCTGCTTTGGATTTTGGTACGATATTTTTGGGTATGACGGGGCCCAGGCCCGTCCTTGTACAGTTGTATATTCTGTTAGAGGTCTGTAGACAGTATGTATAGTTGGATAGTATGTGGCCTTGCCGGCTTCTAGTTTTGGATATGTAGTTGTCTATAGCAGCCTTGTTGGCTCGCCCTACGTATTCCGCACGTATATGTACATATTTTGGGCAGGTTCCCCTCATGTATGTTATTCTCGTAATTTACCAGATGTTATTCAGTTCTATATCTTAGACGCATGCTCAGGGTGTTCGACAGGCAGGACTCGGGCACCCGTCGCGGCCCATCAGTTTGGGTAGTGACATATTCAGTAGGTGCAAATCCAAACTAAGCAGAAAAATAAACATTCAATCTCCTTTAGTAAAATACTTTAAAAAAACCACAGTTGCATCCATACTGAGATATTCAGAACGCGGAATGGACGTAAGAAGCATAATTTTAGGAATAACAAGGCCACAAAGTGTAGAGTACAAAACTCAATCAGATGGCTTTACTCCAGCAGAACTGTTACATATAACTGATTTTAGGATCTAATTAATGGTTACTGACTAACAAATGAATTCAGATCCTGAAGTCTACTAAGGCAGATTTGCCTCCAAGGCCTGTTGCATTATACTGAACTGAGAAATCCTTCACAGTAGTTTCCCGATACCTCGCGGGATTATCTTCTGATAACAACTCCTTAATTGGTCCATAAACTCTTGATGATAAAGAGTGACCAGTGGTAAAGAAACAGGCTACTGATACTCTTGGACCAACCCGACTTGCTAGTACTCTGTGTGCAATGCTCTTGAACTTGTCATTTGATATCAGCTGGAAAATTTTCCATCAAAACGAAGTTAGCACAACATAATATATGTCAATTCATGAATCATTTCTTATAACCCTGTTACAAATAGAATAAAAGGCAGCCAGGTGCGCTAAGCTCTTGCTATGCGCATGGTCCGGGGAAGGGCCGGACTACAAGAGTCTATTGTACGTAGCGTACCTTGCATTTCTACAATAGACTGTTGCCAGCTCGAACCTAGCAACAACTTTACCAGTTACGCCAAGGTTCTCCTTCGTAAATAGAATAAACTCATATATAAAATCGCTTACCTGTAAAAGTTCACCAAAATTTACTACAAGAGCTCCAGAGAGAGGAAGAACATCAACCCAGTAATTGTCATGAAGAACCTGAAGGCCTCCACTATTATCTTGTAGCAGCACTGTGAAGAAGTCGCTATCTGAATGCTTGCTAGTTCCAAGAGTTAGTTCTGGCTCAGGGCAAGCTGGGTAGTAGTGGTACAAAACAGCAAGCCCTTCTGAACAGCCAGTGTCATTCAGATAGCTCGGGTTGAGGCCAAGCGCCTCAGAGAGTAATTCGAATAAAGAACAACCTAGCTTCTTTATGTGCTCCGAGTACTCAATCAGAATATCCCTGCAGGAAATATAATGTAAAAGCTCATAAAATTTTTCTTAGATATCGAAAATGCTAAATTGACAATCTCCTATACAATTTCTTGTCATAACTTCTTTTCATCATAGCTTTTTTACTCTTGTAGTTTTCAAATTTATATTGAAATATGCTTTTCTTGAGTTGAGGGTTCATCAGAGACAGTCTCTCTACCCAACAAAGGTAGGGGTAAGGTCTGCGTCTGCACCATCCCGAGACCCTAGTTGTGGGATCACACTGGGTATGTTAACTTGTTGCTGATAATCTCCTATAGCCTCGAGGGCAGATTTCAGTATAGAGTATTATCATGATTCCCGTATACTTGGGACTATTACGCGTTACTCTATCTCAATAGAGGTTCCAATTTTCGTGATAGAAGTATGAGAACAGAAACATAACAAATGCTATGAGAAAAAAGGTACAAGAATTTTTGACTCAAAGTGATCCATATGCTGCTTCAATTAATGATTTCTCTAGATGCGCGATTATATTTGACTATATTCGTCTTTTGATTTTTCAAATAAATTACACGAAAGTATGAGTGGAAGTGAAAGTTCAACCAGTAAATACCTGCACGCCTCAGGCAATTCATCAGCAGTAGGAGGGTCTGGAGCCATACTGCAGTAAGTAGTATCCCTCCAATTAGCTGATGCAGCTCCAAACAGATCAAAATTGCTATTATACACCACTCTTTTCGAGGTGTCCCGCGTATACCATCGTTTCTTCACCTCAGTATCTTGCTCATAAAACCTCCTAACACCATTCAACATTTCTTCCAACACACTTTCTGGAATTCCATGATTGACTATTTGAAAGAAACCCCACACTTGAGATGCATCACGGATTTTTTCAACTATCGCGCTACGTTTAATTGGATCTTTATTGATGCCATCTAAGTCTATAACAGGAATATTGATTTGAGATTTTTCAGGATCATTAGATGCCACAGTATATGCATCTTCTGGTGTATAGAAAATTCTTGGAACCTTTTCAACTCCTGCATCTACTAGCCCTTTAACACCAGCTTTTGTACTATCAAAAGCTATTAATTCACTTGTCCTATCATAGCTATGTTCACCTGTGACAACCATTTTCTTTTTTTTCTGCTAGAGATATCAATGCTCAAATAGGAGAGATAGGAAGTACTACTAAATGAGAAGAGAGTTTTATTGTGTAAAGTCAAAAGTATGGGACCAATATTCAAAAGTTCAAATCTCTAATATCGCAAATGGTCACCTATAAGTTTAGGTGGATATGATGTTGACTTTTAATTATTCATTTAGACACTAGATTAAAAGATCTTCAGCGGATAACTTATCTTAATAAAAACTACTTTAAATTTTATAGTTAGATGGGAAATTTTTACACTCCCAATGGTACACTACTAGTATTATTTTAGGACGTTGAAAGGCAAAATGTAAATTCCTATACATACCAGGGTTCTTTTACCTTAGTTCGACGACGTGTAACATATATTTTTAGCGTATAACAATGTTTAAGTCAAACAAAAATGTGAGAGAATCTCAAATATTAGTATATATATATATATATATATATTAAAATTTCAAAAATGGCAAATTATATTATTAAAAAAACAAACGAATATTAAATCATAAATCATAAAATCGAATGTTAAACCATAAAAATAAAATGAACTTTACAATATTTTACTCATATGTAACTTCCTATATTGGGTCAAATTAATTAGTTTATATTAAATTAATATTGGAAGCTGAGTAATTCTTTTTAACAGAAACAGTCTTATTATTATATAAAAACAAAACTCATTCGAGACTTGGTCTTGGTGACGTCTTGGTAAGGAAAAAAACTCAAAAAAGACAAATAAGAATCAAATCCAAAAAGTCAAAAGCAAAGAAAACTTGAACTTATCGCATGGAGAGGGAAGTAAATTTGACAATATTGATGAATAATCTTATGATCCTTATCTGAGAAGTCTTTTTCACAAAAAAAAAAAGAAAAAAAAAAAGAAGTCTTTTTCACCTACCGACTATATTATATAGATGTATTATATTTCCAAATTCTTAGAATGCAGTATTTGATGTAGACTTCTGAAATTCAATCTTGGCAACTGATGTATCCTATTGGCAGATGCTATGAACGGGGCGACTCAACAATATTGGTGGCCTAAAGTGCAGCGTTTAAGCTACTAATTTAGAATATGGGAGCTAAGAACTAAGAAAAGAAAAGAAAATGAAAACAAACGATAAAATTATTAATTCATCAGATGAGAATTTACAATGAAGATGCACTACCTAAATACTAAGGGCTCATTTAGTATGAGGGATACGGAATAAATAATCACGGGACTAAATGTAAGAAGAGTTTATCCCGTGTTTGGTTGGTAGAAAAGTGCAGTATAATTAATCCCGGGATTAGTTATCCGAAAATTTTAGTATTTTTTTATCCCCATAGGAGGATGAAATAACTAATCTCGGGATAACTAATCCCGGAATAATTAGTCTCGGGATAACTGCTTTCCAACCAAACGACCCCTAAAGGACAAGCTTGGATACAACTGTCCATATAACAACCTAATACTAGTGAGGACACATGTCCTCAGTTGTGGCCTTAGCCGTTAGGGAATAGGATAAAGAACTAGTTTATGGACTTAACATTAATGGACTAAAGAAACTAGACTAATGAGATGTCTACTCGGCCCAAGCGAATAGAAATGACCCGACCCAATGCCGAGAATCAAATGTCACAATTACAATTCGTAACATCCCACTCTCCTTCCAGAACGAGCCACCGTCCCTGCCCTTACAGATCCATCTCAGGGAACTGAGATTTCAGGAAAGCATAATCTTCCCAAGTAGCTTCCTCCTTCGACAAATTTGCCCATTGGACCAGTACTTGCACCACAGCCTTATTACCTTTCTCGACCAATTTCCTTTCCAGTATTGCAATAGGGTCAGCTAATATTTGTCCATCATTAGAGCAAAATGGAGGCTCTTTAGAAGGTATAATCTTGTCGTCGACCTTTTTCTTCAGCTGTAAGACATGAAATACATTATGAATCTTTAAAGTCACCGACAAATTTGAGCTCATAGGCCACGGGGCCCAATTTTTGAATCACCTCATAAGGACCAAAATATATGGCTGATAGCTTCAGATTCCTCCTCAATGCGACTGACATTTGTCTATAAGGTTGCAACTTTCGGAACACCATATGCCCAACTGCAAAGTCCCTTTCAATTCTTTTGGCGTCGGCATACTGTTTCATTCGATTATGTGCCTTTGTTAAGTTGTCCTTGAGGATTTTGTTGATTAATTGTCTCTCCTTCAACCACTAATCAACAGATTCTAACTTGGATCGTAAAACGAGCTCAAAGGATGGCAAGGGTGGATCATGGCCATACAATGCTTTGAAAAAGGTCATCCCTATGGTTGACTGATAGTTAGCGTTATACTAATATTCAGCCATAGGATGCCATTTACTCCAGTCCTTAGGCTTATGCCCTGTCATACATCGTAGGTAAGCTTCTATGCATTGATTCAATCTTTCTGATTGTCCATCGGACTGTGGGTGGTAAGCTGAACTGAGTCTTTGTTCCACTTGTAGGCCCTTGAAAAGTTCTCTCCAAAATAAACTCGTGAATATGGGGTCTCTGTCAAACAAGATCAAGCTCTAAACTCCGTGGAGTTTACAAATGTGGTCCTAGAAAACTTGTGTCACCTGGGAAGCATTGTAAGGGTGAGTCAATGAGTACAAGTGACCATATTTAATGTATGTGTCAATTACAACTAAAATAGTATCCTTCCCGTGTGATCTTGGCAGCCTTTCGATGAAATCCATGGTTAAGTGTTCCCATGCCCTATTGGAATATGCAATGGTTGTAGAAGCCCTGGGTAAGGAACATGCTCTCCCTTATTCCTTTGATAAATTTCACAACTTTGGACCTTTTCTTTAACATCAGTTAGCATCCTAGGCAAAAGAAGACAGCTCTTAACCTCTGTTGAGTTCCCAGAATGCCTGAATGTCCACCCCAAGGAGAAGAATTCATTTGATTAATAAGTTTGTATCTTAGTTGACCCTTACATCATACAAAGATTTTTCCGTTAACTCGAATCAATCCATTTTGCACAGTTGTATTTGCATCTACCAATAACTGAGATAAAATTTGTTGAGCTTCTTGATGATTCTCATAATTGTCGATTATATCATTGGCGCACTTTGGTTGTATAGTAGTCAACCCATTGCATTCCACCACTGAATCTTTGGCATCAAACCTCTGAGATAATGTATCCACCACCACATTTTCGACCCCTTTTCTGTATTGAATCTCATAACTTAATTTCATGAGTTTAGAAGCACCTTTGTGTTGAAGGCCAGTGGTAATCCTTTGATATCTCAAAAATTTGAGACTGAAGTGATCGGTGCGAATGATAAAATGATTGGGCTGCAAGTAGTGACTCCACTTCTCCACTGGTAATAGCAAGACAATCAGTTCTTTCTCATAAGTAGAGGGCAGTTTTGGGCTTAACGCTTGACTGAGGAAAGCAATAGCTTTGTTCTTTTGCATGAGCACATCACCCACACTCGTACCACTAGAGTCTACTCCACAACAAAGGGAATTGAAAAATCCGGTAGAGCTAATACTAAGGCTCGAACCACGGCATTCTTGAGCTCATCGAATGCAGCTGCTGCTTGCTCATTCCAGTAAAATCCACCCTTTTTAAGAAGGTTAGTTAAGGGTTTGCTTATGATTTCAAACCTTTCAATGAACCTTCTATAATATCTCGTAAGCCCAAGGAACCCGCGTAATTCCTTGACTATTGTGGGATAAGGCCAATTCAGCATCGTCGCGACCTTAGCTGGATCTGTGCTCACACCCTTTCCAGAGATAATATGGCCCAAGTACTTTACTTGGGCTTCTGCAAAATTACACTTTGACAACTTTACAAACAACTGATTAGCTCTTAGGACCTTAAACACTTATTCTAAATGCTGTAAATGGTCTGCCAAGCTGACACTGTAAACAAGGATATCATCGAAAAATACAGGAACAAACCTCTTAAACAAGGCCCAAAAACTTCATGCATTGAGGCCTGGAACATGGCTGGGGCATTCGTAAGTCCAAATGGCATTACCTTGAATGGTGAGTGCGGAATGCAGTCTTGTATTCATCTCCCGGCCTCATGCAAATTTGATGATATCCGGACCTTAAATCTAATTTTTGAGAAAACTTGGGCTCCATTTAATTCATCTAAAAGGTATTCCACGACTGGAATTGGGTATTTATTTTTTATGGTTATATCATTTAATCTCCTATAATCCGCACAAAAATGCCAAGTTGAATCCTTCTTTTAACCAAGTTAACTGGAGACGCAAAAGGGGATGTACTAGCAACAATGATCTGGGATTCCATCATTTCCTTGACCATCTTTTCAATGGTATTTTCCTGCTCAAAAGAATATCTGTAGGGTCTTTGGTTGACTGGTTTTGACCCCGGGGCGAGCTCAATATCATGATCACTAGGTCTATCAGGGGGTAGACCTTTGGGATCTTGGAAAATGTCTGAGTATTCAGTCAATAATTTTCGGACTTGGCAGGGTGGACCATTATTGTTTGAAGTGGCCTCTAATCTTGTTAGCTGGGCTGAATCATTGCATTGGCCCATTTTGAGCAACTTTTGTATTTGCTTAATATTACATAATTCATATGGGCCTATAACATCGCATCCTACTAAGGTGATGAGCTTGTCTCCTATGAAAAAAGAGTTGTTGTGAGGCCGTGTGTGCAAAACAATAGGAGCCATGGTATCAATCCAATCTATTCCAAGTATAATGTCAGCACCACCAGCTTTTAACACTCTTAAATTGAATGAAAATGTTTCATTTTAATTGTCCATTTGAAAATAGGACACACATGGCTACAACTCATTAGTTGTCCATTTGCCACTTTTACTTGCATGGGCCGGACATGCGCTCAGTCTTCACCATCAATTGTTTCACTAAATTTGGGTCTACAAAGCTGTGGGAAGACCAAATATCAATTAGGACCACGATTGATTGTTTCTTAATGAGACAACAATTTGGATGGTAGTTGGATTAGGCCCAAGATAGCATTTAGTGACACCTCGGCTTGTTTCGGCTCTTCAACCTCTTCAATCACCTCACCTGTTGCTTTTATTTCTTTGCCAGTGGTCCCCTCTAACCCTTCCATTGCATTCAACGTTTTTGGCTTACATTGATGACCTGGATGGTACTTATCATGGCACTTATAACAAAGGTTCATCTCTCGCAATTGATCAATGGTCGATGTTGAGCCAAGAGTTTTAGTAAGGGCGTTTGGCATTTTATTTGGCGTGAAATTAGGTGTGGGATAGGCTTTAAAGGCGGTGGTGTAGTGATTGGACTTAGAAAACTTGGGCGTGTGATTTTTCACCCGAGCGTACAAGGATTGTTCATACAATTTTGCCATATTTTATGTTGCAACTAACGACATGGGATTTGCCACTTAAGCCAATGGTCTAATCTCATCCTTGAGACCCCCAACGAAACAGGTCACAAAATACAATTCATCAAACCTCTTTTGATAGCTCTTACAACCGCCCATCGTTGAAGCCGATAAAAAATTATAACAACATCAAGAGGTCACGTTCCGTCATACCTTTAACAGATATCCAAACAAAATTGTTTACAATAAATCATTCCACCATGGTCAATTACATAGGATTCAAACCAACTATCAAACTTATCTTTTACACTGATTGCCACGCATGTTATTTTAGCAGCCTCAGGCACCTAGTAATAATCGAAATAGTATTCACAGCGGCGAATCCATCCCCTAACATTTTTTTCATCAAATTGGGGAAAATCCTTCTTGGCCTTAAGGAAGCGAAAAATGTGAAGAATGAGGTCTTGTTGGGAAAATAAAGTAGGAACGGTGTGGTTAGTGTAGCAGGGCAACCTGGGAATACGAATCATGGGCTTGTGAAGTATAGATGGGAATTTGGGAGGTAGCTGGTATGTGAGAGGGAAATATGCTCATATAAGAGGGCTGGTGGATTGAAATGTGAAATGAGGGTATATGGGTTACACTAGGTGTTTGTGTTTCGGTTGTAGAGAAAGGAATATAGGTGCCAAAAGTTAGAGGATGACACCGGTTCGGAGGGTGGGGATATCCCGACCCTACTATCATTATGCCTTTGCAATGTTACTTGGTTCAACTCTATTTGTGACCTTTTCTCGTATGTGGGACTAGATGACCGAAAAGATGTAGTGGTATGGGCCCGCTAATTGGAGGAAAAGTGGTGAAAGGTCTCGAAGAGCTGAGTGAAGCGGGAATGATGGAATTAATGGCAGCCCTAAATGTGTGAGAATAGGGATTCATTAGTGTAACGACTCGGCCGGTCGTTTTTAGAATGTACGCCCCGATCCCCTATTTATTGCTTTCCCCGTGTTTATTTCTGCTATTTTGAATTGCCGGGATGGTTGGTTTAGAATTTCGGAGAGTTTTGGGACACTTAGTCCCTAAATGAGAGCTTATGTGTTGGAAAGTTGACCGTAGTCGGAACAGTGTGAAGACGGAATTGGAATGGAAATCCGATGGTTCCGTTAGCTCCGTTGGGTAATTTCGGGCTTAGGGGCGTAATTGGATTGTGTTTTAGAGGCCCGTAGCTAATTTAGGCTTGAAATGCCGAAAGATGGATTTTTGAAGTTTCTGGTTCGATAGTGAGATTTTGATCCGAGGGTCGGAATGGAATTTCGAAAGTTGGAGTAGCTCCGTAGTGTTGAATGTGACGTGTGTGCAAAATTTCAGGTCATTCGGACGAGGTTTGATAGACTTTTTGATCGAAAGCGTATTTTGGGAAAATTTGGAGTTTGAGGTTCGATGTTGTTTTAGGTGTTTTAAGGATTGGTACAAGTTTGGACAGTGGTATTAGACTTGTTGGTGCCTTTGGTTGAGGTCCCGGGGGCCTCGGGATGATTTCGGGTGGTTGACGGAGGAAATTTTGGAGTTCAAGTTGCAGCTTCAGCTGCTGGTTCTGTCATAACCGCACCTGCGGTTTGGGTTCCGCAGGTGCAGCGCCGCAGAAGCGGCTCAGTGGTCGCAGAAGAGGTTTTGAGGCAAAAGGGAATCGGCCGCAAATGCGGTCAGGTAACCGCAGAAGCGGCACCACATCTGTGGTGATGTAGTCGTAGGTGCGAAAAGTCCCCCTTTAATGAAATGTCGCGGGTGCGACCGGGTTTCGCAGATGCGGGACCGCAGAAGCGGTCCCAATGACGCAGATGCGGTAATCGCTGGGCAGATCATATAAATCCTTGCCTTCGCGAAATTTAGCCATTTTTCATCTTTTTCAAACGGGAAGAAGCTTGGAAAGCACTTTTCAAGAGAGATTTTCGGAGGAGTTCGTTGGAGTAAGGTCTTTGGTCCCTAAACTCGTTATTGGAATGATTTTTATCAATTTAAGCATGAAAAATTAAGCAAAATCAGTGGTAATTATGGGATTTAGGGCTTGGGATTAAGAGACTTTGAAATGAGAATTTGAGGGGGCATTTTGGATTCGATTTCAGTGTTTTTGGTATGTATGAACTCGTGAGAGTGTGAGGATTCGGAAAATATAAATTTCACTCAATTCCGAGATGTGGGCCTGAGGGGCGTTTTGGTTATTTTACCTAATTTTGCGTATTAGCTTAAAATTTAATTGTAGAATCAGTTACTTGAAGTGTTATTACATTATGAAATATAATTGAATAGACTTGGGCCATTTGGAGTCGGATACTCGTGGCAAGAACGTGGTTTCGGGTTGACATTTGAGCCGGTTCGAGGTAAGTGGCTTGTCTAACATTGTGTAGGGGACCTCTCCCCTTAGGATTGATATTGTGATAATTGAAATGCCTTGTACGTGAGGTGACGAGCGCGTACTTGTGCTAATTGTTGGAAATCCGGTTTTTATTTCATTAAAAATAGCCTTGAATTGTGTTCTTCTTTTCTTGCTTACACTACTTGGAAATTTAGCCTGTTGTTAGTCTAGAGAAGCATGTCTACTTGATTAAATTGTTCTATTTGACTTAAATGCCTTATTTGTATTACATGAAGCATGCTAGGTTAGAATTATCTGTCTGACTTTGATATGAAATTGATTGAATTGAGTTCTTGTTGCTGCTGTGTATTTACTTTGGGACTACGGGACGGTATCCCGGGAGCTCCCCTGTATGTTTACTTTGGGACTACGGAATTGCATTCCGGGAGATCCCCCTGCACTTTTACATTGGAACTACGGATTGCACCCGGTAGATTCCCTAGTACTGAGTATTTATATTTGGGACTACGGATGTGGTATTCCGGTAGATCCCCGCGCATTTATGAGTTGGACTACGGGACTGCACCCGGGAGATCCAATGGATATGGTATTTATATTTGGGGACTATAGGACGGTATCCTGGGAGATCCCCGGTTATTATCTCGGAGCTGAGCTGTACTCTCTTTCTGTGTTTTACTTGCCATTGTAATAGTTTGCTGTCCTTCACGTCCAGTGTTACTTATTTACACTGTTTATTTCACACTGTTAAACCTTATATCTTATTTAACCTCAGTAGGGCCCTGACCTTCCTCGTCACTACCCAACCGAGGTTAGGCTTGGCACTTACTGAGTACCGCTGTGGTGTACTCATGCTCTTCCTGCACATGTTTTTCATGTGCAGATCCAGGTACTTCGACTCATTCCTACCACCCCTGAGGCGAGGCGACTGCTATAGCGACTTCGAGGTACATCTGCCGCGTCCGTAGACCGAGGAGTCTCTTTCTATTCTTGCTGTTTAGTATTAGCCCTTCTGTATTTCAGTTTTTGTTAGATATTCCGGAGTTAGAGCTATTTAGTATTTCTTAGCTTGTGATTCATGGGTTTCCGGGTCTTGGATTTATGTGTTAGTTTTGAGAGTTAAATATTGTGTATGCCGAGCGGCACCTTTAAAAGCTGTTTATTTCCTTTATTTCTGTTTTAAATTGCTTTACTTCCGCAAAATTTTGGTTTTTTTCCGCAATTTAGGCTTACCTAGTCGTAGAGACTAGGTGTCGTAACGATGGTTCACGGAGGGCGAACCGGGGTCGTGACAAGTTGGTATCAGAGCTCTAGGTTCAT